ATCTGGCTAGCCTAGTCGGAGGGCACGGGCGTGTGCGCCAGCGTGCGTGAATCATTCAGTTTTCTAAACTACTCTACTTAACATCGAGGGAAGAGGATTCTTAATAATGTGGACTAATGATACCATTTTTTTAAATTAATTTGTGACTAACAAACAGTAATACAATATTGTATATACATACAATGTGTGCTGAGATGAAAGATAAATGTATCACCAACGACGTTAATCACAGTTTATTTGAGATATAATCATGCAGATTTGTTTACAGTAACGGTGAATTTTATACAAAGTTACAAATATCGACTCAAAATGCAACTTATTTGTTAATATAAAGAAAGCGTAAAATGAAATAAAATAAAATAAGATTGCCATTGCTAGCAATGTACCGTGTCAGGTCGACCTTCACGCGGTTCCCCCTGGAAACCATCGTGATAAATTTACGTTGAATATGTCACGATGGGCTAACTGATCTGACTTCATGTTCATCCTATCATCCTCCACTGGTGCCCCGCCAGCGTAAACTGTTAGCGCAGGTGAAAGCACCATTCCATTATGATACTTTAAAAAAAAAATACTTAACTCTAATGAACGTTGTGTTTCGTAAATTAGATTTGAATCTGACATTTACATCTATGACACAGTTTGCAATGTGTAATCGCTTCTCTTAGTGTTACTAAATGCACCTGAATATCTATTGTAAGATTAGACCGCGTGTTAATAATTGTCAATAGATGTAGACTGATCGATCACGTTTCCTTAACAATTTACGAGCAAACATGTGCAGCCGTTTACAGAAACATTTTAATCAGTAATATAGCTGGGAGTTAATGCGGTGAATGGTTCGTCGGATGCGCCGGCGCACACCGAAATAGCCGCCGTTAATCTTATGAAATATTTGTACCGACAGTGAACAGTCGACAGCGAACACTTGCACGTGTTGCAGGACGGTGCACCACCATCCACATCCACGCGTGCACCGCACTGATTACAGATCTCTGTCGCGTAAGTGTGGCGCGCTGGTGACACATGTCAGTTCAGTAATCACGGCTAGGGGTACTTTTACTGCGTTTTAATTTTATTAAAATTCAAATTCAAAAATCATTTTAGCGTTTTATAAAAGTCACATTTTTATATATTTTTTTTCTACCGTCCAGTTCAGTATATAGATCCAATTGAGAAGAACTGGCAAGAAACTCAGTTGAATTACTCTATTTAAATCTTATATATAAAATTCTCGTGTCACAGTTTTCGTTCCCATACTCCTCCGAAATGGCTTGATGTCATGGCCGATTGTCATGAAATTTTGTGAGCGTATTGAGTAGGTCTGAGAATCGGCCAACATCTATTTTTCATCCCCCTAAATGTTAGGGGTAGTCCACCCCTAAATTTTTTTTTTAGTTTTTAGACAAAATTTTATGATTCTATTTTTTATGATACAACATACAAAAATACATACAATCCTAAATTTTCACCCTTCTATCATCAACCCCTATTTTTTTATAGCGTTATTAATTTATATGGCAAAACAACGTTTGCCGGGACAGCTAGTAATATCTAAAAATTGCAGTTTGGCGATAAGAACAATAATAGTCTTCCTTTTTAAATAAAAACTTTAATTTATTTATAGACAAGAAAGAAATTCTGAATTAGGTCAAGAAATTACAAGAGCTCATTGCGTCACAGACCTCGTGTATCTGTATGTAACATTTACATGACCATTTCTCGGTCGGTTTAAACGAAATATGGTTTAAAAGAATAGCCGAAAACCAGAAAAAACTACTGCATTACCTACATCTATATAATAATAATAATCTCAGGACAATTCACACAGCGCCATCTAGTCCCAAGTTAAGCTAGCTAAAGCTTGTGTTATGGGTCCTAGACAACTGATACAAATACATAGATATTTTTTTTCGTAAATACATACATATTATACATAGAAAACACCCAGACCGATACAAACAATCATACTCATGAATACAAATGTTTGTGCCGTGCGAGGAATCGAACCCGCGACCATCGGACGTAAAGCGGTGTTCTAAACCGCTAGACCACCGAGGTCAAATCTATAATTTCATAATGAAGAAATAACTGGTTCCTTCAGACGTATACATTAAATATGTAGGTACACTGTCATGTATGCAGTACTTTTGTTGCTTTAGTTTTTCGAGCCCAGTATAAAACCCATTGCTATTGGCGATACTTACACGATCCTACACGTGTTTGGTGTTTCAATGTAAACAACTTTACAAGTAGACAACGTTGGAACAAAGAGTGCGGATGCAGACAAATTTCCAACAAGCTCTGTCTCTGTTCGGTTCAATCGTCAGTATAACAACTGACGTTATTTACGTTGTTTCACACGACGCCACTCCAATTAAAAGCTAACACTTGTTAACTATCTATTTGCGTGGAGGCCCGACGCGGCGCATAAGAGCACTTTTGGGACACTTCCGGACTTCCTCGGGGACGCAACTAATGGAATATCACGCATTACAAGCTCAGTGCCGAGCACCGATGCATAAACATTCCTTACTCTTCAACTTGTTTGTACAAACTCGACTCCGGCTCGCAGTGGATTCACTTTAATCATAAATTTGTAATTTTAGTATATTTTTGTAGAGTGCTTTAAGGTTTAATTGTTCATTAACCGGGTTGATAACGAAAGGTTCAGTGAAATGTCGCCGAGTGAATTATTATGTTTACACAAAAGGGAGTAGCTAACTCAGTTTCTGCCTCGCAGGGAAAACTATAGAAATAGAAATAGAAATAATCTTTATTCAAATAAACTTAATATAAGCACATTTGAATAGTCAAGTTTTTTTATTCTACCGCTCATTCGGAATGCAGACTCATCACAAGAAGAATGAGCAAGAAACTTGTGTGTTGCTCTTTTAAATAAATATTGATTTACTTATATTTAATTAACAACAAGGATTAGGCATGCGACAATCAACATAGAAACCGCTACGCACTTAATCTCTATCGCATTGATTTCCATGTATTTCATTTAAATATAATTGCTACTCATACAAGTCCTAAAGTACGATAAAATGTCAATTTGAATATGAAATATCAGTAACAATGTTTAAAGCCAGAATCCCTACTAAAATTATAAATATGAAAGTAGACATGTTTGTTACGCTTTCACGCAAAAACTACTGAACCGATCATCATGAAATTTTGTATACATGTTCTTGGAGGTATTACAATGAACATAGAATACTTTTTATTAAAAAAAAATATATAAAAGAAAAAATAATATATCAACTTTTTGCTACTTCAACGCCATCTAGTAGCCAGCAATGAAGTAATGGGAGCGAAGCCTTTTTTTTTTTTTTTTTTTTTCGGAATGCTGTTGGCCGCAGCTGGCCTTTACAGCTTCACCGGACGTTAGGGGGCGAGTGCAGATGGCACTCCAAACCAAAGGAAGGACTTATGGAGCGGCTGAAGGCCAACTCAGAGCTCAGGGCACCACTAGGGGTTCGAACCTCGGCTCAGGCCGTCGTAATATCGATCCCCGTTTGAATTGCCCGAAGCCACGGGTAAAAGCTAGTATTGAATAATTGTTTTCGCGATTAGTACTCTTAAATCTAGAAATCAGGTCATCATCTATAAAAGAAAACATTAAATGTTTACAACTTTGAACTTCTCGTATTTGTTTGACGACATCGGTGGTCTAGCGGTCAAGCACACCGCTTTATGACCGATGGTCGCGGGTTCGATTCCTCGCACGGCAGAAACATTTGTATTCATGAGTATGCTTGTTTGTATCGGTCTGGGTGTTTTCTATGTATAATATGTATGTATTTACGAAAAAAAAAAATTCTATGTATATGTATCAGTTATCTAGTACCCATAACACAAGCTCTAGCTAGCTTAACTTGGGTCTAGATGGCGCTGTGTGAATTGTCCTGAAATTATTATTATTATTATTATTTGGCATTATTTCACTGCGTAATTCGTATTGAGAGCGAGAGGACGTGTTGGTGGACGATGGAGACAGTGGACACCTACTGAAAATAAAACCACTCAGAGTGAATCACAATAACATTACTCATCACCACTGTCATAATGGAGAGAGTGACTCAAATTGATGTCAAATGACACCATTTCCAAATGATCTCATTTTATCTGTTTAGGAAAAATTATGTATTATAAAACCTTACTTATTGATACATACCGTTACAAACAGTTAAATGAACTTAAGCCAACAAAATAACAGTTTCCTTAAGCTCATTCATTTAAAATGCTGGTGGTCACACTATTCTCACAAATTTGAATTTAAATGAATCTGTATTATTGTAAACATGTACAACATTTATTTGAAAAGAATACGAGCTGTGTTTCTTGTCAGTTCTTCTCATCTCGAAATCATTCTGAACTGACGGTAGATTTGATATTGTAGTGTAGATTTTATGTGGTGAATAACGGCCCGGTTTCACTTCTTGGTAGAGATTTTTTATATAAATTTAATTTAGAACTTGTAGCAGTAAATCACTGTTCACTGAATGCTAATCGTATTTTAATGAAATATAAGTCCCTTTTTTCGGACAAACTCGGCACTTTTAACCAATACAAATTGTCATTACATTTAAAAGAGGGCGCTACCCCTAAATTTTGTAAGGCTAGAACGGTGCCCTTTGCATTAAGGGATAAAGTGAGTGCAGAATTGGATAGACTCGTACAAATAGGTATTTTAAAACCCGTTTCCTACTCGAAGTACGCATCGCCGATTGTGGCCGTATTAAAAAAGAATAACGAAGTACGTATATGTGGCGATTATTCGGGTACCATAAATAAAATATTGAAAGTAGATTCATATCCATTACCAAAACTGAACGAATTGTGTATTTCATTGCACGGTTGTCGCTATTTTAGCAAGCTTGACTTGTCGCAAAGTTACAATCAGTTTTTGCTAGATGAGCAGTCTCAGGAGTATACGTGTATAAATACACATAAAGGATTATTTGTTTATACGCGACTCGTGTTTGGTTTAGCGAACGCACCAGCACTTTTTCAACGTGCTATGGTTCAGTTGTTGTGGCATTGATGGAGTAGTGTGTTTTCTTGATGATGCGCTTATTGCAGCACCTACTCCTCAGTTACATTGGGAACGTGTGGAACAAGTACTTAATAGGTTAAGAGGCGCGGGATTGATATTACAAAAAAGCAAATGTTCATTTCTTCAGGAAAAGGTTGAATATTTAGGCTTTATAATAAATCGTGATGGTATTCATAAAAATCCAAATAAGATCAAAGCTATTATGGACGTAAAGGTACCTCTTAATACAAAACAATTAAAGTCATTTCTAGGTATTGTAAATTTTTATCACAGTTTCATACCGCAAGCGGCGGTAATACTAGAACCATTACATAGTTTATTGCGAAAGGATGTTGAGTGGGTTTGGTCGGAAAAACATCAAAAATCGTTTAATGATGTAAAAAAAGAGTTGGGTTCGTCACGAGTGTTGGCTCACTTTGACCCCCGACAACAGCTGGTGCTCACCGTGGACGCAGCGCCGGGCGGCCTAGGTGCGGTATTAGCAGTGCGTTACCACAACGGCACAGAGCGTCCCATTAGCTATGCGTCACGGGCATTGAATAAGAGTGAGCGTAAATACAGTCAGATCCAGAAAGAAGCTACGGCCATAATTTACGGTATAAAAAAATTTCATCAGTACCTTTATGGCCGTCAGCAACCTTTCATTTTAAGGACCGATCATAAACCCTTATTATCCAATTTTTTCACCAAACAAAGGGGTTCCTCAAATGACTGAATCCAAGCTTCAACGTTATGCATTAATTCTCGCTGCGTACAATTATAAAATAGAATTTATTAGCGGGGAAAATAATGTTGCTGATTATTTGAGTCGTTTTCCAGTCGAAATGGAACCGCCGGAGGTCGATACTTGTACTGAATTACCAAGTTACATAAATGCACTAGCCGAAGCTGGCGCCGCGCTTCCCGCATCATTAGGTGAGATGCAGTCAGCTACTATTGCTGATAATACGCTTTCTGCGGTGATACAGTACGTAAATAAAGGTTGGCCAAGAAAAGTACGAGCTGAATTGTTGCCATTCAGCCGGTGTCAGCATGAACTGCATGTTGATAATGGATGTCTAATGCGTGGACATCGTGTAGTTGTGCCGGAGATGTACAGGCCGGCTGTCATCCAAGAACTGCACGCTGCACACTTGGGAATTATAAAAATGAAATCGTTAGCTCGAGAGCGTTGTTGGTATCCGGGTATTGATCGAGACATTGAACAAGTAGTGTCTAACTGTGATCGTTGCATTTCTCTTCGGTCGTCACCACCAAAAGCTACACTGGAGCCATGGGATTGGCCCTTGGCTGTTTTCGATAGAATTCATTTGGACTATCTCGGACCTTTACATAATAAAACATTTCTTTGTTTGGTCGACGCGCATAGTAAGTGGATAGAATGTTTAGACATGTCAAATATGACTTCTCAATGTTTAATTTTTAATCTAAAGAAAGTTTTTTCGAGATTCGGATTGCCCAAAACAATTGTAACAGACAATGCTACAACTTTCACGTCTGCTGAGTTTGCAAAATTTTGTAAGGTTAATGGTATTATACACATATTGACACCCGTTTATTCACCACAAAGTAACGGACTCGCCGAGAACGCGGTGCGAACGTGTAAAAAATTCATTAAAAATGCTCTAAAGGATGGTACAATTAAAAACATTAACAGTCGGCTAGATGATTATTTATTTCATTACCGAAATACGCCACACTGTACGACCGGAGTATCGCCGTCAATGCTTATGTTTAATAGGAACTTACGCTGTAAGCTCGATCTCATTTCTGTAGGAGCATCAACCGATACAGCTAAGCAATCATTCGTGAATGATCGTGTGCGGTTACACCAGGGTCGACAGAGGCGTAATTTTGGTGGCAAAGGAAGGTTTTTTTCTCAGGGTGATAACGTATGGATAAGAGATTATCGATTTAACCCAAAAAAACCTGTGTGGGTTTTGGGCTCGGTTGTCAATCGTGTAGGTAAGGTTCTGTACCACGTAAACGTGAAGGGGACAGACATCGTTTGGAGGCGTCACGTAAATCAATTACTAGACGCCAAGATTAATAATCGTGCGTTAAATAGAGCTGCTTGGTCATATGAAAAGCACGAGGGCGCGACGGCTCAATGTCACGAATCGGTTCAGTCGGCTTCGTCACCTATAGCCCCGGAGTCGGGTGTACCGGACGCGAGCGGGCCGCCTGCGCGCAGTCCCCGCACGCCGCCCGGCTCCCCCGAACCGTCGGCACTCAGCGACGCCGACGATGGCTTGTATGGAACGCCTCCCAGCGATGTACCCGACGAGCGATCAACGTTACGTGTATCGTCTGTTCCCGAAGTCCGCCGCACACGGTCGGGTCGAAGAGTTTACCCGCCAAAAATATTATTTCTTTGATATACATACGTTAGATATAACTACAGATTATGGTGTACTATATTTCAGTATTTTTTTTGTTGTTGTTGTTACCTTTTTTTTATAAACTAAAGATATAGAATCTAAATATAAGTCACGGTTATAATATTTATATAGATATTAGAGTCTAAGTTATAGGTATACTATAAATATAATATGTTGTAGTAGATTAGATACACACAGTATGGATATTGTGTTAAAAAAAAACTCTCAGGCAGTTTCCACAGTTTCGAGTTCATTATTACAAATGTTTTTTACTTAAACTTAATCTTAATATTCCTGTGCATACGTAAATCATGTTATAGACGGGACTTGTTTTAGAAAGTTACATGTCATTTTCTTTACTCGCTGTATTGTGATAGGGATTAATGACCTATTTATATATATATTTGCATATTACTTACACAAACTTATATTTTATAAGCTATCTACATATTTGTATTCTATCTGCTATTTTTCCCCTCAGTTTTAATTTAATTGTGGAGGAGATGTAATGTAGGTAATCTGTAAACCAGTTATTCGTAGGTAGTTGGAAATAAACTTGAGTTTCGACCTACAGGTGTTTATTATTGTGCTCCCGTATTTTATAGACATTACAGATATATTATAAGTGTCTGTAATAGACCTACATGAATAAAGATATTTTGAATTTGATTTGAATATCTCGTAAAGTTAGTTTAAATAGGTAATAAACACGTAATTATGATACAATCTAATTTTACTTTTGGGTAAAAAGTAACTCAGATTGTCCTATATTCCATTCTCGACGGAATTATATATTTTAATGAATATGAAAGATGCCTTAGCGAGTATCTATTCTAATTAGGTGGTCTAGCTGTTTAGCATACAGCTTTACTTCCAATGGTTGCGGATTCGATTCCTCGTATGATTGTATTCATCAGTATGTTTGTTTGTATCGGTCTGTGTTAGACCTACAGTGAGAGTCAGTTGCAGTTTTTATAATCATTTATCCATATTCAGAATGTGATGTTTTTTATATACTTTTTGTTTTATACACTTAGTCTAAAAAGTACAGTAGTATAAAAAGAGTCGTGACTCATTAAGATAGAAATTAAGAGGCAAATATTCTCACCGTTGCTTCTCAATTTATATATACAAATATCCTATATGTTCATAAAAATCTTAACTTATTTCCAAAAAACAGCAATATTCATAATATTAATACTAGATTAAAAGACAAACTTGCTGTCCCCAAGTATCGTTTAGAAAAAGCAATAGGTCTTTTATAGGTATAAAAATTTACAATAAGATACCAAAGGATATACTGGAACTCCCCTTAAATAAATTTAAAACATCTGTCAATTCATATTTACTGAGCGAAGCCTATTACTCACTAAACGATTACTTGAATGACGAGCGTGCATGGCAATAGTTGTTCATGCACGGGATTTTCATTTAATGTTACACATAGACACCTATATATATAAATATACATTGTATATAAACTGGCTTTAAAAAAAAAGTAATTCAATTAAGTTTCTTGCCAGTTCTTCTCAATTGGATCGATATACCGATTATTTCTTGTTTTTTTTTTTAATTTTGAAATTTGAATTTTGGATAAACATATCTACAAGTATATCTATTATTTTCTTTCATTATCACTGTCTGGACATTTTCTATGTTATAGCACTTACAAAAGATATTTATGTATTTATAACAGTTGTTTAATACCCATAACACAAGCTCTGCTTCATCTAATCGCAGATGAAGTCGTTTGAAAGTCAATTGTCCAGGAAAAAGAAACATTCTGAAATATTACAATTTTATCTATTACAAATCATTATGCTCACTCACGTCTGGTGTGTCATGCAAAACTAGTGGATGACACAGCCCGTGTCTCGTTGAAGTAGCAAACGTGACGTGTCATTGTGAATTGGCAAAATGTTGAGCGAGTGGTGGCAGGCCCGGCGTGACATCGGCGGTGTCACGCGGAATATCCAGGAAGTAGCAGATTGAGTGGCGCACTGATTTCCTCTGGGGCCCGCCGCGGTGCACGCTAGTTCGATACGTTGTTTTTGTATCAGAACTCGTCACGGACACATCTGCATGACGCTTCATCATCTATACATATAAATAAAATTGGAGTGTCTGTTTGTAATATTGAAATAACCGTTTTTACTACATGCATATGAATATAAATACGGTACATGCACCGAAATAACATTTTTAATCATTTTTGTCTGTCTATTTGTTCCGGGTAATCTCTGAAATGGCTGTTACTGACTTTGATGGGACTTTTTTTGGCAGGTAGCTGATGTAATAAGGAGTAACTTAGGCTAATATTATTTTAGAATAATAAAGTTAAATTCCACGCGGACGAAGTAGTAGTAATAGTAGTAGTAGTATTAATAAACATTTAATCGAATTATATAGTTGATATTTTGCGAAAGTCCAGTTCACTAAGTCGCGGTTTGGTCGCCGACCCAAACCCATAACATATGTTCTAATAAAGAAAATTAGGTTTTAAAAACACTTCTCACTTTATTACGCTCCCTAAATTATGGTCGAGCGCAGTGATGGCTGGCTCATCCGTCATACTCGTGAAAAAGTGCTGCTTGTAGAGACTGGTCTACTCTTATAACTACGACTGATTTAATCTTATTGTGTATTTATATTTAACCCCAATAAATTAGTGCTGATTGGTAGTTTGTATTCACACGTTTCGACTTGTAAAATGTGAACTTATAAGCATTATTTAAAAGAGCAACACACAAGTTTCTTGCTCGTTCTTCTTGTGATGAGACAGCTTTCCGAACGAGCGGTAGAAAAAAAAAATTGTTATGACTATTCAAAAGTGCTTAAATTAAGTTTATTTGAATAAATGATTTTCTATTCTATTTGTTATTTGGAGAGGCAAATAGTTCTGTATAGCGTCGAGATGGCAGAGGTAATCTACTCGACATAAAGTTTGAGCTTTGAGCCAGCCAGCATTGGCTCGTTTATTTCGGATGGCGGACGACTGACTGGTGTCATTGGTGGGTTTGTGTGATATATTGCGGCGTTTGTAATGTTACACGTTTTTGTTTGTTTTATGTCTTTATATGTATGAATCGATAAATTATATTCTATTTTTTTAATATCTCAAAATTAAAAAATGAATTTATTATTATTGTATTTGAAAACAACACAAGCTGAGTTTCTTGTCAGTTGTTCTCACCTTGAAATCATTCCGAACTGACGGTAGATTTGACATACGAGTATCATAAGAGTCTGTAATAATAGACCTACATGAATAAAGATATTTTGAATTTGAATTTTGACTATAAATTTGTTTTCCAATAAATTGGGGCAATTAAACAGCCAATATTAGCTGGTCGACTATTTTCTGCGAATAAATTAATTTAATTTAATCTTGTTATGTTTTCTTTATCAGTTGTGCAAGTGTTATGTGTATGACATCTGTTTGTATATCCTGCAGGTGATATATCATAAGGTTGAAAGATAACTTACTAATAACATATTATTTGCTAAAATTGACACAATGATATTAATAACATTATGTGTAGAGTTACAAAGTATCAATGTACATTTTTCTCCGAGTTAATATACGTGTATATGTGTTTACACAGCATCCGGCGAGAATGTATCCAAGTTGCAACAAAGTAAGTATATCAGATAAGATGAGTTTGCTTTGCAATTGGTTATTTTCTCTTTAAATAACCTGATTTTCTGCGAAACTTTCTACTGAACAAATTCGACATCATTCAGCCAGCACACAACTTTGGAGGTGAATTTATGTGGAAAATCTAAAAGTTAGCCGGAATCACAGCGAAACCGCACCACGAGTACGCCGTGGAACACTTGGAACACTCAAAAACATTTATTTGTATATTTATATTGTAAAAGTTTACTTTTACTATCCTACTCGCCTGGCAATACATCCATTAATTCTTTGTCTCCTTTAATTCACTGGCAACTTCGATCGATTTCCACCAAATGGAAAAAAACATGCAGTGATCTCAATGAGAAAAAGTTAATTAGAGAATTTTCTAATATAATAGTAGCCTAAGTTACTCCTTATTACATCAGCTACCTGCCAATAAAAGTCACATCAAAGTCGGTCCAGACATTTCTGAGATTAGCTGGAATAGACAGACAGTAAGACATAAATTGTAAAAAATGTTATTTTGATGTATGTACCGTACCGTATTTATACTCATATGCATGTAGTAAACAACGGTTATTTCAATATTACAAACAGACACTCCAATTTTATTTACACGTATATATATATACCAACATATTTGGACCAAATATCCAACATGTAAACAGCCGAGCAGGCTCGATTGTTATAAGTTCAGGAAACATTAAATGTACAGACGGGCCTCGTTAAAACTTTACTATACGTAAAGATTGGCGAAGAGAAAGCGATTCAAGATGAGCATGCAATACTAACTCATGTGTGCCTGCGTACTATGACTGCCTGCGAGGATGTTTACAAACAAAATTACGTACAAGCACGTCGAAGGCACTTATTTGATGTTGCTTGGAGAAAAACAGAGCTGGCCAAGCAAGCTCTCACTACCCTACTCAACGGCGTCGTTCATCGATTGGATAAACCTGAGCTGGACATATTTACATGTGACTTGTCGAATTTTAGCAGAATGGCAATGGACTTCCTAAATAACACGTAAAATTGTCGGTTATTATTGTTTTAAAATATATTTTTGTTGTGTAATTTGGGAAGCTGTAAGGCTCGCTTAGTTTGAAGTCAATAAATAAATATAATTAGTTATATAAGTCACATGGCGCCGTGGCGGAAATCGGCCGGGATTACATCATCATCACCAATTTAAAGTAGTTATAACGTGGTCGAGTGCTATGAGTGACTACTCATCAAGCGACCAGATTTTAGTGAGTATGATTATACTCACTAAAATGTGGTGGCGTGATGGACTGGTCATTACAAAATGGTAGACCATAATGACTTCTTGCTCCTAATAATATTAGCTTTAATAAAT